AATTTGCATAAAGAAAGTAAAAAAAAGTTCCCCTTCCAATGCAACCAATTACTCACGTTTCACAATTATTCAGTTAAATTATCTTAACTGAATCCTATCAGATTCCCAACACGAAAATGCAAACTTATCACTCTATTAGATTATTTATGTTTTCAAAACGCAAATGAATTTCAATCAATTTCCAATAAAAATCCCTTCTGAATCCTCAAATCAAGCAAAACGATCGTCACAAAACTCCATAAAACCGATAAAAACCTCGAAATCGTGAAATCATTCCAATGCTTCAGTTTCATTAAAAAATTAAAACGCTTATTCAATTGCTCAGCTCTTCAGAAAAGCTGTTGCAACATGAAAAGCTCAGTTCATTTCAACTTCTGCAATTCATGGACTCATTTTTCATTATTTGTTTTACATTCAGTTTTATTCAAATTTCAGTCTAAAAATAGTTGTTTGAAAAAAAAACATTTAATTTGGTCAATCTTTTTACTTTTGTGCTTTTTCCTGTTTTGTAATATTTCATTTCAATTAAATGTTAAAGGTTGACGGGAAAATATTGTTTACCTGCTTCTGTCTGTAGCATGTATAAATAATGAGCAAAAAGGTAAACTGAATACTTTTGATTTGCATAATGTTATCAACTATAAGAGTTTGTGCCTGGGAGTGAAAACATGAAAATGAAATGTGATGATAAAACAAGATAATGTATCAATGTTTTGACCAACATTTGTCAGTTAATTTTATCGGTCAACTTAATCCATTATCAATTGTCTTGTGTATACATTTTTGTTATCATTGCTGTTGTCTACCTGGGAAGGAAAAAAGAAGAAAGTGGAAAATCTTTCATTCTCTTCTTCTCACTGGTGAACAAATGGCAGAGCACAATACAACAATGAACTGAATAAGATAATGAAAATGTTTACCTGGATTCTTATTATTTTCATTCGGAATTCTTCAAGACTCATTTGTCTTCTTGTTCTCTGCTTATTTCCTTTCTCAATATAATAAACTATTTACCCTGTTTCTTTTCACGTTCATGTTCACCTTTGTCAGATAGAGTTATTCAATCCAGTGAATGGCAAAAGAAGAGAAGCAAAAAAGGCTAAATTTTGACCCAAAATGTAATAACTCAAGTTTCTGATGAATCTCATTGTCTTCATTTTAAATCAACTTTGTTCTGGAAATAAATTTCTCATTTAAAATGAAAAAATCAAGAAAATCTGATATCAAAACTGAATGTTGGAATCGTGTTGAAACTCGAGTTTCCCTGATTAAAGTTCACATTTGCCTAATCATAATCAATGATCGAGATTCAATATTAAGAATTTCATTTTCATTCAAATTTTCATTTGCATAATCTGACTCTTGTTGAAGCATGTTTGGAAATATTGAACTTATTCATTTTCGAGTCTCGAAGTCGTTATCATTTTCTTAGTTGATCTAAAATGCTAAAATGCATTGAGAAATGTTGGTTTGTGAACTTGCAAATGAACCATTGATGCATCGAAATGATTCCAGCATTGAAATTGTCATTAGTCGTTGTTACGTGTTAATCATTTCGTGCATATTTAACTTGATTTTTTTGCTGTTCATTTCCATTTGTCTCTTCATCTTTCATTTTGATAATTTTTGTTAATATTATCTAATCTAATGAAACAACTCAATGAACTCTTGTACTAATCTTTTGAAATATAATGCTTCAATCAACAAATAAAACCTTTTTCTCTTGTTCTTGTTCTTCTTTTTTTTCCTTCTCTTTTCCTGTAATTCTAGAAATGCCAATTTATGGTGAAAATGGTTAATACAAATTTTTATTGTATTTACTAATTCAATTGTGGCACTTTGCTGTCACTCAAATAACCTTAATTTGTGTTCAGTTATCGATTTCCAGCAAATAATCATTTCTCTCTAAATGAACATTTTACTTTCAGGTGAAAAGAAACAGATAATGAAATTATTATTCAATCTTGCTCAATCATATTACAGAATCAATTTGCTTCTCTCGTAATTTTTCATCTCCAAATCCTTAAACTTCAATATTTTATATCGCCAGTTTAGCCATTTAATCGTATCAAGACATTTCCTAATGAACATTCATAAAATATTTATACTCAAGCAAAATGCATTCCCGATTCACCGACTATTTCATTAAAAATTCAAGTTGATTCAATATTTGGATAAACTTATCTTTGACTTATATTTTGAAATAATCATTTCTGTAACTCAAAAGATGAAAGCTGCTTAAATCAAATTCAATGAAAATCATTTCGAAGTCTTTTCTTTCTCAAAATGATTCCTTAAATGATTAATTAAGATAAGTTTATCAATTTAAATGAGAAAAATGAGATTCTTCATGAATGTTCAATTTCGTCAAAGTCAAAGTGAAATTGACTGTCTTTTGGTGCAGCAAAGTTGAATTTACAAGATTAAACTGAAAGCTAAATTAACTTGGGATGCGAAAAGTGATTGATTCATTTAATTTCCACTCCTCATTTCATCGAATCATTTCTTTTCTCTTCTCAGGATAACTTTTTTTCCTCCTCTCTCATGAGACTAGTTATCGTTATCATCAGATTTATTATTGTTATCAACTTTACTCAGCTTATCCTGACATCATTTCCCATTTTAAATTCACCAATGATTCCATTAAAATGGCAAAAAATTGAACCCAAAAAAAGATGAAAAATAATGCAATAATGATAAATTTCCGTTTTCACTTTTGCCTTCAACTTTCCTTTATATCCAACAATAAACTTTACAACGTCTATTACAATAGCAAATGAACTAACCTTGGATGGCAATTTTTCAAGTTCATGCCAATAAACTGAATAATTGGTCAAACCTGAACACAGACTGAAAATAAGTCTCAAGGAAGGCAGAAAAGAAGAAGAGAAATTCCTTTTCTTCTCAGACTCTAGTTTTATCAGGAAATAAATTGAATTATATCATAAAGCGCTAAATCATCTCAAAACCCAGATAAAATAATTGAATTAGATTGAATAATAAACAAGAACGGAAAGAAAAAAATAGAAGCCAGAAAAAAAGATTGTTACTTTTGACTGTTCAACATTTTCCATTGAATCACAACTTGAAATTTTCCATTTTTCAGACTTTTCCATGAAGAAAAAAATCTTTTGCCTTTTCATGTTTTACAACATCAATATTCTGAAAGATTATCTGATTTACAGATTCTTTCTTATTAAATGGTGAGAAAAAATCCAGGAAATTAGATTAAAAATGTCGTTCAATTAATCACAATTACATGAGATTCGAGACTCGATATTAATCTCATTGAGGTAATCAACAAGTTTCAAATTTTCAAGATTCAAATAATTTCAATCTTTGCACTGATCAATGGAAAAGAAATGCAAATATTTCAATGTTTATCTTTTTGATACAATTTTCATTGTTGATTTAATATGATAAATAAACTGACAAAAAATGTTGAAACCACAGAAGCACAGGATTGAGTAAACAAAAGTGTTGATATCTAAACAGGATTCAACGAAATTTATCGACCCACTTGAGCAAAGGGAATGGAAATCGTCAGTTCTGAAAAAGGAAGCAGAAAAAAAGATTGGAAATTAATCTTTTTCCATATTAATAATTTGCTTGAGCAAACATTTCAATTTGCATTTACTTTCTTACCATCAATGTTTCACCTTTCTTGCTATTGTGACAAGTGAACAAGGTTCGCCTTTGAAGTTGATCTAATAAATTTACTCATTTGGAGAGTTGCAAAGAAACAAAACTTTACATGTTGAGTTACTTGAATGTTAATTGTTTTCCTTTCAATGCATATTGTAACTGTAAATTAACTGAGCAAAAATGTAAAGAACAATGAATCTTCTTTTCCTTTTCCTTAATCTATTTTTTTCCTTTTCCTCAGCATTCAACCCTTTCTATGTTTCTGATGTTCATCTTGATCTGGAACTTTTCTGATTCTTTTCTGTCAATTGCATTTCGAGGTTTTACTCTAACAATTTCAGTTGATTATTACCTTGAAATTGGTTAAAGATTGTTGTTTTGTAATGGCTGTGTTTCCATGTTTTCAGTTGTTGCAATTGAATTGAAAATTTTGTTGCAAAAATCATTTTTCATTTGATGTATTCATCTTGAAATGGACTGTTCAATAGACAGAACAGCAGGTAAAAATGTTTCTTTAGATACAATCTATTCTTATCATGATAAGAATACTCATTGAAATTTACTTCTCTCTTCCAATTGATGGATTTGTTTTTACATAATGACTATTGATCATCTTATTGAACTTATCGTTGCTACTGGCAATCATGATAGCTAAAATTATCATTACACTGTTGATTAGTAAGTGAAATGTCCAACGTGACTAGAATTGTCGTCATCTTTTTATCATCACACAATTTGATCAATTCTTGGCCAAGAAATGGAAAAAGTTGTTGAAGAAAAAAAAAGCCAAAAACTTGTCAATAGACTGAAGTATCAATTGAAACTAACTCGAGTTAAGCTTTTTTCATTTCTTGTGAAAACACGAAAATTGATTTTGAAAACATTCCAATCAAAAGACAATTCAAAAGACAATTGAAAAACTTTTTCTTGCTCGACTCAATTGTTGAGGAAAAAAAACATTTTCTTTGCCTGAAATAAACAATAGTTTCATGTTGCATCTCGTCTCATTGATAATTTACGATAAATCATTCTTTAATGATTAACTGATGCACAGTAATCTCATTTGCAAAGTTGAACATAAACTCAATCATAAACTGTTTACCTTTGGTTAGGCAAAAACTGGAAATGCAAATATTTTTCCAACTGATTATGATTACTTTATAAAACCATTACGAGACTTGTAACTCTACTTTTACCAATAATAATTTTTCATTTTTATTATCCTTTTCCCTTACCAATTTCATTCCCAGTACCTTTCATTGTTGTTATCATTTAGATTTATTGTTATAAATTTATAGCTACTTATTACATTATTAACCAGAATTTTTCTCTTTTCTTCTCTTTCGCCTCAACAGTCCAGCGGGAAAATGGGATCCCGAGCAATTATTTATTATCTTGCCACCACAGTACTTGCAGCCGTTTTGGGTATTATACTTGTCTTAATTATCCATCCTGGTGATCCAAGTATAAAGAAGCAACTGGGTGGAGGTAAAAAATTTGACAAATTTTTGCTCTCAATTCATGGTTTCATGAGTAGCCTTAAACGGGTGAAATATTTTATCAATTGTCCAATTAAAGATGAACATTGAAAATGCCATTTCTTTGTTTTTTATTTACATTTGAATAACAGGAACACCTCGAAAAGTATCAACAATAGATGCCTTCCTCGATCTTATTCGTAACATGTTCCCTGAAAATCTTCTAGAGGCTTGCTTCAAACAAATGCAAACTGTTTACGTGAATGTCACCAAAACAATACCAGCTTGTAAGTATACAAATAAACACCTGAGTTTCTGCATGTCTCAGAGTCTCAAGCAACATTTTATTTCGAAGGAAAAATCAAATCTCTGTTTCATTTAATCTCGTTTAAACATGTAATATTTCAAGTTTAAGATCACATATATTGTCGGATTATTTGCATCATTATTGTAACAAAAAAGTGATGAAAGCTGCAATTCTGGCTGATCGCTTAGTGAAAGCCAGGTTTGGTTCGATATGAGCCAAAAAATGATTAATACTGAGAATAGAATTCTTATTGAAAAATTCGCTTAACTTGACCATCTCAGGCTCTTCCATCATTGAATATGTTCTTACTCTATTCATGTCTCTGACAATATTTTGATGAAAACTGCAGGAATTTATCCCATCAGTCAACACTTTGGTGAAACGATTTGATTTTTATAAGAAAATGTTGTTCTAACTTGCCTTTCAATTGAAAATGATTGTAAAATGATTTCTAATCCAAATTGACTTTCTCTTGTCTAGCCAAAGCAACTTTCGATGCAAATTCAACCTTGATTAATGCAACACTCAACTCTGTACCTCAAACCACCACTGTCCTGACAAGATCCTCCGAAATGAAGGATGGCACAAATATTTTGGGTCTCATTGTATTTTGTACAGCCTATGGAATAGTACTCCAGCAAGCAGGAGCATCTGGTCAGTTAATTTTTCATCTTTTTACCCGTTTTCATCTACTAATTTCATCTTCTTTTTCCCATCAACAGGTGAAGTGATGATTCGTTTTTTCATTACTCTCAACGATATCATTATGAAAATTGTTATTATTGTTATGTGGTATTCACCAGTTGGTATAATGTCACTTATAATAGGTATGTAAAGCAGAAAGTAAATTTTTCTTCCTTTGTTTCCCTTTATTCTTATTAAAAGGTAAAAAAGGACAAAATTTGAACAGACAGCAATTTATCTTGAAGATTAATTTTTGTATTTCTTTCCACGACAGGTAAAACACTTGAGTTGGAAGATGTTAGAGCAACTGCACAACAACTGGGAATGTATATGGTTACTGTAGTTGTAGGTTTGGTGATACATGCATGTATAACTCTTCCACTTATATTTTTCTCAATTACACGACAAAATCCACTCACCTTTTTCAAAGGTAATACCATTGCTTTATTTTACTCAAACCTATCATTAGGCAAGCAAACAAGTAATTTGACTTTTCACAAATAATATAATTTGCAGTAAACAAAAACCTTGTTAATCGTAACTTGCGATTATTAAACTAAATTGAAGCTTCAATCGACTATTAAGCTAAAAATTTTGCATTCTTATTCAGTGGAAAAGTCAAGTTATTCAATTGTCTAACAACCAACTCAACCAGCAAACTATAATAAACGATTCTTTACCATTTACCAGGTATGTTACAAGCTTGGGCCACAGCCTTGGCCACAGCAAGTAGCGCTGCCACATTACCAATTACGTTTAAATGTTTGGAAGAAAATCTCGGTGTTGATAAAAGGGTAATTTTGAAAAAAAAGAAAAAATATTCTTTTGTCCAATATTAATTGAGTTTGGTTCATTAGGTGACTAGATTTGTGTTGCCCGTTGGTGCTACCGTCAACATGGATGGAACTGCTCTTTATGAAGCTGTTGCGGCTATTTTCATCGCACAAATGAATAATGTAAGTCTGCCTTTTTGTCGATGATCAATGAAACATTTTTCACCATTTTCGTAACTTGGACTTGATAGGTACATTTAGGAATTGGAGATGTAATTACTGTAAGCTTAACCGCAACAGCAGCCTCAATTGGTGCTGCATCCGTTCCTTCAGCAGGTTTGGTAACCATGCTTCTTGTGCTCACTGCCCTTGGGCTTCCTACGGAAGATATATCCATGATTGTAGCTGTTGACTGGCTTTTGTAAGTTGATTTGCTATTTATAGCAAAAATAATACATAATGTAGACTCTCATTGTTGAAAAAATTATCAACCATTTTACGCTCTTTTTTTAACAAATACAGAGACAGACTGCGAACGTCAATCAACGTCCTTGGCGATGCTTTCGGTGCTGGTAAGTTGTTTTTTTATTTCCAATTAGATTACATTGATCACTTTGCTCATCACCCTGTCAGTCGCCATTGTTTACTTTTGTTCATCAATCAAACAATTTTCACTTCCCAATATTGTCATCAATAACAGTGATGGCAACACAAAGAAACTTGCACTTTCCTTTCCTAACCTAACCTTCAAAGTTAATCAGACCCAAAAGATGAGCCTTTATTCAATAAATGGCTCAATATTGATATACTCAATGTGCACAAATGTAAATCCATTTTAACCTTACTTTTTCTTCGACTTTTTTAACCTCACTTTTTGCACCCACTTGATGGATCCGTTAATTTATTTGCACAAAAACAAATGCACAAACATAATCGCACATTCGCACAATCACATCACAAAACACTCTCAATGTTCACACTCGCACATATTGTAACCACTATGGATACACATTTTTGCACAACCATCACACAACTCGCTATTTTCATCCCATCATTATTGCACTTTTTACACCTTTTTAAATTTGTAACACTTTTAATTTTTTTGGACTAATTCCATGAAAAAAACGTGAAAACATCCAAACTCAATTATCACATTAACAATCAGTTAAACAATTAGCTGATAAGTCAGAGTCAGCTTATTTTCTACCAGCAATTAGTTAATTGGAATAGTGGAAGCAAATTAGAGATTTAATTAAATGTTGACAACAACAAAAAGCGATTCTCACTTCAACGAGTATAGTATCACGGTTCACCTCTAGACCCTTGGCTTTGAAGGTGTCAAGCGCTTGAAGCAAGACTGAAAGTTCCTGGTTGAGGTTAGCATCGAGTCAAAATTGGCTCTGCTATTGAACCTTGAATGGTTAACCTTGCCGTTGAGCTTCTGTCCTTGCATCAGCCAGTCACCAGTCAATACAAATATGGTTGTCTGAGAGGTGCAACTTGCTGTACATGCTGAGTTGTAGTTGATGTATCAAGGTATTACGTCGCATTTTTCATTCCTAATCGCATTCATAATTAAACAGTAAATTTCATCGCCCAAATGTGCTAATGATATTAGAAAAAATGTTCAAATTCTGTCATATCAATTGATCCAAATTTGCTAGTAAATATTTTGGCTTTCACATCAAGTGATGAATAATTTGCGTAAAAAACTTCTAATTTTAAACCAAACCTAAACCAGAAAGAAAACAAAAAATGTTCAAAATGTAACAGCAATAGTCGACACAATTGAAGGCAAAATTGAAGTGACACTTTTAACTGTTCACAATTGAACAAATGCTGAAAATGGTTTTAATTAATTTACGCTCAAATTAACTCGCTCTGAACAAATGAAAAACATGTTGCAAATGCTAGAGTATTGAAAGGATTAGAGTGAAAAAGAAATGAATTTTTTTCTCTTGTCTATTTTTAGACAAAATCTTGAGCTATCCAAACATTCATTAATACACAATTGAGCATGAAAATGAATTCAGGTAGATTAACAAGTTGACAGGTTAATAGTTGGAACAAGAATAAAAAGCACAGAAAAGTTGCCAAATTTGTGTATTCAAACTGAAAGCATTTCATGTTGGAAAATTTAAATTCAATTTTGGGTTTATATTTGCAAATTTTTTTCACTTTTCATTTCACAATTTTTCTTTTTCTTTCTCTATTCATCCCAGGTATCGTCTACTATTTGTCCAAAGATGAACTGGATAAGTTTGACCAAGAACATGGCTTGGAACTTTTGGAATCTCAAAGGCAAACGGGTTTGTTGCTTTAACTATTTCTTTCAACTTGAACTGTTCAATGATGAAAATGTATAAAAAGCAAAATGAAATGGAACCAAAAAAAAATGATTTCTTTGCGTTTTCCACCTTTTCTTTTCACCCATCAACTCATTTTGTTCATTGTTTTACATTGCCATTGATTGCATTCACCTTTTATTTGCAAATTAATTTTGAAAACAAAATGCAAACCAAGAGTAAGAGCTGGATGCTCAAAAACTGACCAACAAGGAGAAGAAAGTTTTGCATCAATCTCTTCCTTTCATCATTTCCAACCTTATTGTCCATTTTGTTTTCATCTTGATGTTATTATTTCACTTTTATTTCTGTTAACTCACTTTCATGACACAAGATTACTTTGAAACACCTAATCCATCAATCCATCTCTGTGTCAGTTATCATTTCTCACAATCCATCATTTCTTTTCACAGTAAACATGATATATACACACACATACATTCACGTATTCACTAACTTTGAATAAATGTCTTTTCTCTTCGTCTTTTTTCCATTTGTTTCTCTCTTTCTTTTTTGTCCATTTCTTGTTTATCGCACAAGAATTATCACATTCAATCACACAATCGCCAACAGTAAACAACAATAATCGTATGTGTGTGTTTTCACTTTAATCATTTGCTCATTTGTTTCATCTTTTTTCTCTCTCCTCTTTACACTCTTTCAAAGTCTTGTGTGATTTCATTTTATTTTGTATTTTCATTTTTATCTATTTTGATCGGATTTTGTACAATTAGCCACAATTGACAGTAAAATTCACACACAATCAACACAAATATATTCAATTAAATTCTCAAAGATTTTTATAAAAATGTTCATTTTATCCTTTTGTCTGTTTATCATTACTTTTGCATCCAACATTAGCTACTAGTCAATGCAAAATGCATGTAAATGCCTGGTTCGTTGAATGAAGCAAAATTCAAGCAAATATCATTAGAAACAAACTATTAAAATCTCTTCAAGCTCAAAAAATCTTATCTTGAAATCTTTCGAATTTCAAAGTTCGTTCTCTTGAATTGCCAAAGTTTCAATATTGAATTTCGCTTCATTTTGATTTTTGATAATTTCGTATTTCAATGTTTTTAGAGAATGCTTTTCAACTCCTTCATCGTGATTAAATGATTTGCTTCGAGATTCGTCATTGGAATGTTTAAATGCGAATAAGATTCTTTTGAAGTTTCATCTAATCATGATGAGTTTAGTTTATGTTGTTTGCTTGAAATTTATTACTCGATGATATCCTGCCAACCTGACTTGACCTTAGAATTTTTCTCTCTTCTTTTTTCATTGATTCATCCATGAAACAAAATCAAAGGTACAAATGAAATAAGCCACTAAAATATATTATTCATGATAACCATAACCTTTCTCTTCTTCTTCTTCTTCTTCTTCTTTTCCTTCTTATAATGCTAAACCTGGATCAAATATTTCAATACATTTTCTTACCCTAGGCTTTTAGGTTCAAGCACTAAACTGTTAAAACTTTAACCTCTGGACTTGCACCCACCAGTTAATGAGTATGGTCACTTTCATTCTATCCATTTCTCTATCAATGAAATGAAATTGAAAACTAAAACTGATTATTTGAAAATTAACCTTCCAATAACATTAGTTAGTCGTTTCATTTCAACAGTTTTATAAGTTGAATGCTTAAACTGTAACCTTTAGTAAACTTGAAAAGGCAAAGAAAAATGAAGTTTTACTTTCAAATCAAAGCCTTTGAACCATGTACGGTTAATTGTTAGATTAATAAAATTAATCAATATTCAATAGCTGATGGCATTTCATCCAATATTTCCATGATAAGACGGAAAAGCTTTTTCATCATCAGGGAATTGAATAAATTCGTTATCTAACACCAAAGTTCACTATTGCAGGTGCCGTGTCTACTTAGGCTTCAAACATGATCAACTTGACCAACTCGACGTTTAATTTCGTGTTTCAATTTCAATCTGAATAAATTGAAAACTTGATCAATTCCAATTAATTAATTTTCTAGAAATACGATCGTCTAGAAGACTATTGAAATATTTTGTTGCTTGAAAGGCTTGAATGTCTGTAAGATTGCCTTGACTCTTGCCTTGTAAGATGCTGAAATAACCAACGCTTGTGGTCCTGATTAACCTAAAAATTGATTCAGCTTTGTTAAACATTTGATTTGCAAAAATGGAAGAATTGAGTTTTGCAGAAAAAAAAACATTTCAATGCTCTTAGACCATTTCATGTTGACTTTTTCCCTGATTTCAGCTAGACTGATTTCTGTCTCCTAATATTTACCTCAAAAATAGTTGATAACATGGTGATTCTTAGCATCATGTATCTGGTGTTTCTGTCAAAATCATCTAATTTGATATATAACCTGAAGCAAAACTGCCTGGAAACAAAATTGACAACACAAAGTTGACTTGATAGTGTTTGAGGCTTTTACAGTGTATAAAGATGATTGAGTTTACTTTTTCTGTTTCTTGACTTTTTGGTTCATTTTTTCCCTTCTTTTCGTCTTTTCTTTTATAAACATGATAGTTTCTGTTTGATAAACACGATAATAATAATTTTTATTCCGATAATGATAATAAATCTGATAATTTATTTGCAAGAAATGTAATACCTTGGAAATGCTATCCAACTCTTAATGCAAGTTGACTGAGAATCTGAAGGAAAAATTGTTAAATGAAAATTGAAGATTGAGTCTCAATTTTTTTGTGTTTGTTAGTTAATATTTTGCTTCTGAGCAGCAAACAAAAGAAAGCCCAAAGCTTATTCAAGGTGACCTTTGAATTTGATGATAGGCAGGAAAAGGAAAAAAAAGTTAACCCAGGATGGTTAAAATAATACAAAAGAAGATAAAGATGATGATAATGATGAAAGAAGAGGAAGAAGAAGGTAGCTTGAATGAGCTTGTCTTTTGAGGTAAGAGTGGGCCAACCTTGATCCAGGGAATGGAAATGTTTCTCTCTCTTTTTTTCGTACTCTTTTTTGCTTCATTTTATCGATCCATTTTCATGCTCATTCCTGTTCTTCCTGAGCAACCTCACTCTAAAAACTCTTGCATCTTCTATGAAAAACTTGAACGAAAAAGAAGCGAAGGAAAAAATATTGGCTTTTCATGGTGAACTGGGAGATTGAGGTGGAAGGACTGGGAGTGAGAATCAGGTTAGCAAGGGAATGAGAGTCAGAGAGGAAAGGAAAGAGAAGAAAATTGAGAAAGACTTTTCTCTTTTCTCTCTGGGTTACCTTTCTACTTTACTCTTTCAGTCTTCTTCTTCTTCTTCTTCTTATTCGCCATTTACATCAAGTAATATTGTCTGATCCAATGAATGATGTGTTATCTTCTTGTTCGCCTTCATCTTCTTGATGATCGTTTCACTCGTCTTCGTCTTCTTTACAACATTCAACGCTAAATTCAAATTGAAAGGTTGACATTTGATGCATTTTCAATCAAGTAATATAGCTAACCAATATAACAATCTCATTTCAATCAAAATCGTCTATTCAAGAAGGTATTAAAATGTCACCTTTCTTTTTCCTCTTTTTTCATTCCATCTTCGCCTATCCATTTTGATAATAATTTTTACCCTTTCAGATAATTTTCAAATCTCTCTCTTCTTTAAGCATTTTTTTCTCGTAAATCAAGTCAAACTCGATCATTAATAATGATATTACTGTATTAACACTTTTATCAAATAAAGAGTACCAAGTTGATTTAATGTTGTTTCAAATGTAAACTTTAACGAGTTTAAAAGTGGGTGAAAAGTGTCATTTAAACTCGCCAAACTGCATAACCATTAAGTTTCGATAGTTGCAACTGTTTAATGGTCAATAACGAGAATCAATTAGCACTTATTGATATACTTGACTCGAGAAATTGCCATTTTCCTTTTTTAGTCAATTTTGTTTTCTCAGCTTATGCGTTTTCGATGCAATAATCAATTCTTTGAGAATCATTTTGTTAATTTTATCAAGTTGCTATGTTAATGATTTTTGATTGTTGCAGTCATCAATGATGAAACTATTGAAAGTGACTTGAAAAGTTTGTCTAGAATAGGATTCAATTCAAATTGGAAGAAATCGTTAAATTTCTAGTTTCTCTTTTCACCTGTAACTTAATGTCGAGTCCATTGGAGGAAAAAAGATAAAAAATGGAAAAATAAGTGGAAATAGAAGTGGAAATAAAATCGAAGGTAAAAACGGAAATAAAGTTTCGGAGTATAGAGACTGACTCATGGTCAATGGATTTAAGAAAATGATAAAAGCATTGAAGATGATGATGATGAAGTAAAAAAAGAAGAGAAAATGTTTCGAGAAACTTTTTTCTCTTCATCATCATTGTGATCTTACATAAAACTATCGATCGCATTAAAGTCTACAGATGAACAGAAAAAAATAGTCGAAACACTGGAAAACTCTTACTTTTTCATGTCTAATTTGATCGTGAGCAAGAAAAGTATATTTTCATCTGATAAATCGTTTAACATTGATTAGTGATTTTGACCCAACATTAAGAGTAAAATGTTGTCCGTCAAGAGCAATCGTTTGGGTTGTAAGGTTTAACTCAATCAGGATCATTATCTTGCAACTTTGTTTTCATTTTTCATCTTTTCTCATTTATTAAATGAAAATGTCTTTTGTAACAATTTAAAGCAAAAAGGTTAATCCAAAGTAAATGTCTTGAACGGTCAATGATGGTCATTTAGATGATCAATCGTAAATGTTGCTTTTCAATTTTCAGTTGATCAAAAAGCCTTCGTCTTTTCACCAATTAACCTTTCAAACCTTGCTCAATCTAATAATAGATCAATCATTGTTTCAATTCCTAACAATTTGTTGATGCACGAATTAGTTTACATTTAGATATTAATTAACAATTAATCTAACAATAATTTCATTAACTAACAATGTTACAAAACAAAAACAAGTTAAATTTACTCTTGTAATTCAATCTATTAACATTGATTCAGTTATCAAACTTGTTCTCAATAATGCTGTTCAACAGTAAAGTCTTAATTGTCAATGAACAATCAATGTTGATAAAAGCAGATTTACTGTAACTTTTGTTTTGTAATTTTTCCATTTTTTAATTGTTCTAAGTGCTATTAAATTAGATAAAATTTAGTTGTTACATTAGTTAGTAAATTATTTGTTTCAAAGATGTGCTTATTAGTTTATGCAAAACCTTTGCATGGTTCAAATGATTGTTTAATTGTTTAAACTGGTAACAGTAGCTGAATAAAGTCAAAGACCAAAGGCTATTTCCTTAGTCCGATCAAAACATCAGTAAAACTCGAAAACATGATAGAGTTTCATGATAGAAATTAATCAATTTTCATGTTAATCAGAGTTGAAATTTAATGCAAATTTACTTTTTTTCATCGTTTTCTTTTCTCATCTTTTTTCACCTTCTTTTAGGCCCAAGAAAGTTATCAATGGTTTCGCCGACTCGAGGTGGTTCACGGCCATTAAATCAAAATGCATTATCAAATAATCCCGAAACGGAAATATAATAATAACCAATACTGCTAAATAATTGTCTTAAATAATGTTTCATCAAGGAAAGAGCGACAAAAAATGGACTCTCAAGAGAAGCCACTTTTTTCCAAACTTCATCATAATTCAACAAAAAATACACTTTAAATGCTACTGAAGCACATCCATGTATCCATATATATCTTCACCTGACACACTCACACACCTCACATCTTTGACTGGGAATCACAAGAATGGCAAAAATGACACATTAACACATTAACTTGATCATCACCGTAAATAATAATAATGATAATAAACTAAAGACAAAACTCGGCAGTTGAACTCGATCAAGTATAGAGTAAAATATCCAGCAAAGAGAGAAGCTTTTTCTTCTTCTTCTTCTTCCTCGTCTTGAATCATCTCTGGTCACCTTGAATCATCAACCATCATCCAGCACAATCATCTAAATTCATCTCCGCTAACCATCAGCCATTAAAATCATCAAACTCAAGTTGATCATCTATTTGTGAATTGTTGAGAAAAAAAAATTATACGAAACAAAAAACATAAGTTAACACGAAAGCGCATTTTGGTGTCTCTACTGATTTTATATATTGATAATGATCGCAATTGATTGATGATTATCAATAATAATTGATTCACAAAACACACACAATTAGATATATTATTATTACTATTATCATTGTTATTATTATTATCATCATAGCATATTAGGATAACCCTGGGATTAATCAGATTCAAGGATTGAATTAGATTGTTATTCAAGACAAGCATTAAAACTCACCTAATAGCACAAATCACAACTAACAGGATCAAATTATTTAACCAAATTTGGGTTTTGGTTTCGTTTTTTGCTGAAGTAAAATGATAACAAGTAACAAAGCAAAGCCAAGACTCGGACGTTATCTGGTGTTGCTGTTAAACCACTGACTTGGACGTTTTATCGACTGATGATTAGTGATATTGAACAGCAATTACTGTTGACTGTGTTGACCAATTTAATGTGAAAACTCAATTTGGCTGAGAAAGAAAAAACATTCTCTTCTTTTCTTTTCCCTTTTGTGGTTTCTATTTTTGACCATTTTACCTGGTTCCAGCGTGCTTCCTCATCAACATATCATGTTGTTTCATTTTTACTCTAACCTCTTCAAATGGTATAAACTTTAACGCATCAAGTAAAAACACTGAAAAAAGCTAAACTCACAAAACTCATCATTATCATCAATGGCTGAAACCATTTGTCAATGTATAATAATATATTAATCCATCAAAAGACATCATCTTGAACAAACTGTGACAAAACAAAAAAACTATGAAACAAGCTGAATATCAATCCTTATCGGATCAACGTTCATCCTTCATCAGAAATATTCATATCCACTATTGAAACACACAAAACACACACACACACACACAATCGCCTTTTGCTCACCTTGCGAGACAAAGAAGAAAAATGAAACACGAAAAATTACCATGAAATTGAAACAAAAAACACCCAATCAAGGATTCACCAATCAAGTTCATATCAAAAACCATATCACTGAACACCAATTATATCACCGATTCCCAATGTTAAATGCGCCTTCAACTCTTCAACTCTTAACATTTGATAATGCCATTAGTAATAATAATGTTGATCATGATGATTATGATGATTATGATGATGATATCACTTTGCATCTGTTAAAAACTTGAGGCTTACCTTAATGTATAAAGACAAGGATTGCATTAATAAGCAATACAGTAAATCAATTGATTTACGGCTTCTTTCAGCTCATCAATATCATTACAATAATTATTTACACAAAAAAGGTTAACATTTTGTTAACCTTAAAACCCAATCTTTAGACGGCAGTTTACAGCCTTTCAACCCAATTCAGTGAAGTTTCTAGGTTTGACTAGAGCAAGTGACTAGACTAATCATGTACATAAATGAGTGTCTCAAATCCCTTTTTTTGATGATAAAACACAATGAGCAAATCATCCAACACAGTCTCTTCCACTCTTCATCATCGTTATTATCATCTTCATCTTCATCGTCAACAGCATTGTTATTGGTACAAGAAAAAAAGAACCAAATTTGCTGTTCAATTCTTACCCGATTTTTTTTGCTCCTCCTGAATGTTGATCATTCAATTTACATTCAACTTGCATTTAACAGTCTAAATTGTTGATAATCAATGAAGCTATTATGATGAAAATGATTGCTACAATATTAAAAGCTCAAGATGATCAACCAAAGAGGCAGTGTGTCAACCTGGACTTGTTCATCTCTAAATCGCGATGAAAGGCTTTAATTATTATTGAAAAAAATCGAGCTAATTGTAATCAAGAAGAAACACTTTTCTCTCACCTCTTTTTTGTTCAAAATCATTGTCAATCATTACAATCAACCAACTCTCTGTGACTGTGTGTCAAGTTTGTGTGTTTAATTGTGTTCTTTCTTATTTGCAAAACAAAAACAAACCATTTACTGCTTATAATACTGATTGTAATAATAATATAATGATGATAATAATAATATTAGTAATAATTATAATAACAATAATTCATTTTCTCCCTGTTTGCCTGATAATATAATTCAATACATCTATACATATGTATACAAATAAATGAACTTGACAGCTTTTTATTTGTTAACTTACCTGACTGTAAGACAACAAAACAAATCAACAAACCAAAACTCAACCCAATTTTCATTTAACCTTGTTTACCTTTTATTTTTATCATTAATTAACTAATTGTCTAATGTTTTACAAAATTATTTTACAATCATTATGTTGATCCTTATTTTTAAATTTACAACAAAAATGACATTTTTTCCTTTTCTTTTCTTCTTCTTCTTTCATTTCTTTTTATAACAAAACCTAAACTTGATTATTTGCTTAAAAGTAACTTTAATTTTATCAATGGTGCCACAGATTAATTAATTTTTATTATTAACTCTTATAAACGCTGATAAAATCAAATTGTAATCATTGATGGTCATTTATGTTTTGTTTTTAACCAGCTAATGTTAATCCTGGTTTCGTCTTTTCTGTTTTGCTTTGTTTTTCTTGCTTTAACCCATTCTTTTCAATCTAAATTGCAATTATGTTTTATTGTCATTAACCATTCAATGTATACTCTTGCCAAATTTAACCAGATAATGTTTTGTTTTTCATTTCAAACTGTAACCCAAAAATTGGTCAATCTGGTTAAGAGACTAAATAGATCAAAATTGAATTTCCCTCTTTTTTTGCTTCCTCACTCCCTCTGTTGATGTATTTGGGTTTTATGTCATATTTTGTTTTGCTTTTTTCTGGGTTTTGTGTTGTATTTTCAGACTTATGTTTTTAACAAATGGTTTTGGGATAGTTTAAGAATGAGGATTAAAATTAAATGATTTCTATTAATTAATAATTATCTTTATTCTGGTCTATTCATTTGTATGTTCATTTTTTAGTGGATTCATTTGCGTTTAATTGTGGCCAACTCGTCAAATAGGATTACTTTGCCTTCCATGTCTTTCCTTTTGCAACTGTTTGTTTGCTTATTCAACCAAGAGACTGTCAATCATTTACAATTAGATTACTATTGTCATCATTAGCATCACTATCATCATAATTTGGAAATTAAATTTTAAACTTGTTCTTGGCCTTTATTCACGCCTAAAACAAATCAAATGATAAATAAGCAAACAAACTTGTCTTCTTTCTATCTTTAATTTAGAACTATCTTTTACATGATCAGAGTAGTTAGTTGTATCGTTAATTAGTGATCAAGAGAAGCAAGATTGACTTATTTAGATAATTATTGGCCATTTTTGTACCATTTTCTCTTTTTATTCTTAAGGTTGGATTTACTTTTCAATTGATCACCTGAAGATGCTTCAATTTTGATTGTTTTTTAAATAATCTGGACTTGCAATGATATTACTTACATATGAATAGTGATAAACATCGGATTTTGTTTTTTGGTTTTAAATCTGAATTTTACTTTTAGCATTTCTGTGATTATTGAAAATCAAAACAAATATAACACAAAAATCTCGACCAGTTTAACTTATTTTTTACATGATTGCACTTACAGTTGTTGGTTGGGAAAGATTGGACTATGATTTTGAAACAAACAATAACTGCCATTAGTTTAATTAACTCTTTGAGCTTGAATAAATTGGTAAACTTACAAAATTTACAATTTTAATTATCGACAACTCTGACAGAAAGATAATTGAACCAAAAAAGCCCGTAATCTTCAGGGATATAAACATAGATACAAATACAAATTTGGTTATAGTAAACAAACAATTTACCGGCACTTATCAAATTATAATGAATACATCAACACATAAAATATTGTATAAATCATCTTCATCTTTACACCCATCATAATCATGAACCTATCGTTTTTGCAATTGATTAAACCAAATCCAGATTGATGAAGAAACACAGGAAGAAGACGATTTCAAATTGACTCAAGCACATCAAACTGAAATTGTGAATACTTATGTTAAAAATTGATAATTATTATTAAAAATACATCATATAATGTATATCAGTATCATAACGATTAACTAATTGTTGAAACACTTTGTAACCTAAAATCTTTGATCACAACTAAACCTAATTCACACTCATTCAAGACTTTGCCTTTTCTTTCCTCCAAGAAAGCTAGACTAACAATTAAACACATTAACAATCATTGTCAATTCAACTCAATTTGATTATCACCCAAACGTGCTTTAAAGGACTGGTCAGAGTTAACCCATTTAAATTCAAGACTATCCTAAGAACCCGAAATTGGGTGAACATTCTGTTTCGGATTTCAGTTTTCAGTTGATAATCATTATTTACAATGAAAGGCTGGTTCAGTTTATTTTACAAATTAACCACGGTTCAATCAGATGGGTTAGGAAGGAGAAGTAAGTCAACTTATTATCAATTGAATAGGCCAGATAAATTGATTATTTTCGCTTTCCTATTGATACTTGTCAATTAATTTCCTGTTTCAAATGATTATCATCTTTCTCATTTCACTCATCATCTTTACATCTGTATTTCTGCTTCAACATGGTCTTCTAGTTACTTATCATCCTCTTGAAAAAGGTACATCCACTAACATTGTAAGATAAAGATATTTTGTTGAAACAGCTTATGCATTACTTTCACCACTGGCTTGATTGATTGTCTTCTGCTGTCAGTTTGGTCATTGATTTGATTAACTTGTGTCTTTCAGTTTAAATAATTTGACTTTGATCATCGTCGGTTGAGGCAAAAAGAGATCGAGACAAAAATACTTTTAATCAAAATTTAATTTGGCTTGTCCAAGTAAACAGGAAAATTTAATGTGTTTATTATGTTGTTTGCTGTGCAACAACCTTGGTTCCTTTTTTTGATAACTTTCACTTTCTGTCAACCTCACCCATCATCATCATCTAATCACTCAACTTACTATCATAATCAACATCAACACCAAGTTGATCATCGAGTTCATGTTCACCATGCAAGCCTCTCATTATCATCATCTTCTGCTTTCCCTTCACCGCCCAATATTATTGTCATGCTTATGGATGACATGGGTTTTGGTGATTTAGGAATCAATGGTGATCCAAATTATGATACTCCTAATCTAGATGCTTTAGCATCACAAGGAATGTTATTGACCAACTTTTATTCCTCATCGCCATTGTGTTCCCCTTCACGAGCCTCACTTCTCACAGGTCGTTTACCCATCCGAAACGGCTTTTACACTGACAATGTTGATGGACGTAACTCTTATACACCTCAGGAAATTGTTGGTGGTATCAGTGATTATGAGCTCACTCTTCCTGAGCTATTGTCATTTGGATCACATTATCATTCAGCTCTTATTGGTAAATGGCATCTTGGTCATAGACCACAATATCTGCCTTTAAAACACGGTTTTGATATGTTCTGGGGCTCAACCAATTGTCACTTCGGTCCCTATGATAATAAAGCTCGTCCCAATATTCCCATCTTTGAAAACAATAACATGGTTGGACGTCTTTTTGAAGACTTTGCCATCAATAAAGCAACTTTTACATCCAATTTGACTCAAATTTATACTCGAAAGGCATTAGAATATATTCAATCGAATATTGATTCCAATAATAGACCATTTTTCCTCCTCTGGTCACCCGATGCTACACACGCTCCTTCCTATCGTTCCGAGAAGTTTATCAATTCATCTCGTCGAGGATCACCTTATGGTGATGCCTTGGTTGAACTGGATTCCGCAGTTGGTCAGATAGTTCAATTAATTCAATCTAATCCAAGAACAGCTAATAACACGTTGATCTTTTTCACCTCTGATAATGGAGCCGCTTTGGTTTCCAAAAATGATGCTGGCTCTTCTGGACCTTTCCTTTGCGGCAAACAGACTACTTTTGAAGGTGGCTTTCGGGTTCCAGGTATTGCTTGGTGGCCTGGAAAGATTAAGTCTGGCAGCAAGTTTCACAAGGCAGCTTCATTTGTTGATTTATTTCCAACATTACTTGATTTAGCCGAAGTTCCGCTACCAACGGATAGAGACTTTGATGGCTCTAGCTTAGCACCGTTCTGGCTTTCCCAAACTGATTCACAGCTTAATTCTGCTCCGGATAGGCCAATTTACTTTTATCGAGGCAATAGGCTCATGGCAATACGATATGGTTTGTATAAAGCGCATTTCTGGACTTGGACCAACTCATGGGCCCAATTTAAAACTGGAATTGACTTTTGTCCTGGTTCGTTTGTCCAAGGTATCACAACTCATACACCTTCAAATTATACATCATCTCCACGGTTATTCCATTTGGGTCGTGATCCAAGTGAACACTATGTTATACCAGTTAATTCAGCAGAGTATAAGACGATTATTCCAACCTTTTTCCAACTTTACCAAAATCATTCAGATACATTAATTCCAGGTGAACCAGTCCTCAATTGGTGTGACAATTCAGTTATGCACTGGTCACCTCAAGGCTGCGAAGAGTATAACAAATGTCTTCCAGTTCCACCTTCAAATCCTTATAAATGTGAATGGCCACATTAACGAGAAAAATTCACGAGAGTAAAATGCACGGAAAGCTCAGTATTGAAAATTGTAAATAAAAAACAAAATCAAACACGTTTTATAATGAAAAACAAATGATTTGGTTAAAAACTTAGATTGCTCAATGGAAGATTTGGCTATGTGAGTAAGAGTTGACACTGACAGCAAGTCTCAAGTCTTTTCTTTCAATCAACAGATGTGAATATTAAAATATCCTTGTTTAAAAATTTTTTCAGTCTTAAATACCGTAACTATGTGTTGGTAATTAAATAATTTTTTGATAAAAAAACAAGTGAATTTATTACAATTTTTATATTACCAAATTGAAAGGTACGCCCATTAAAAACATCAACAAGTCTGGTTATCATTTCTCATGCTATTTGTGATTTCATTAGACATTGCCACTCTATTTAGTTCTCTGCTTATTTCAGTTGTCCTTTCTGATTGTGTTTAATTTTTATTCAGTGCGTAACTAAATAATTAGTTTTTTGTGAATATTGTGTCTACACTTATTGTGAATCAAGTCATGAAAAAAACTACAGTTTCAGACCATGAGCAAATGTTGAAAGCCATTCAAACTGCTTCCGATTGTGAAAAAATATGGCTTCTATTTACTGGTAAAAGAGATGCTTCTGGTAAGAGTTGGTGTCCAGATTGTGATAAGGCTGAGCCAGTGATTAGCCAATGTATACAAGACTATGAAAAGTCTCATGGTGGCGCGGATAATGTTGCTCTTATTACTATAGAGATTCCTCGTGATGAGCATAAAAATTTACAAAATTATTATCGAACTCATAAAGACATACAATTGAAATGTGTTCCAACTTTGATGTTACATGGCCAGGTAAGCCTATTATAAATGAACCTCACGTCTCACCAGGTATAATATACAAGTAATAGGAAATTTGTTGCATATAAATTGATACAAACCATGAATCAATTTAATAAAGATATAAACTGCCTTATTAATGTTTAAATAGCAAAGAAAAAAATTGAATCAGTATCTTCTAGCTAAATTCACATTGAATTACTTTACTTTTACCAAGAAGCGTTCAATTAATATCTAATAATATAACTAGCATAGCAATAATTTAACTGATAATTTTTTATTTAATTTCAGCTCAATATGCGATTGGCAGAGGACAATCTAACGGACCCAGATTTGATCAAGGAACTATTGGAGCAATGAACTTTACAACACGGTCAAAACAATTTGGATTGAATTTTTATCAGTTTTATTTACAAAGTGAGATTTGATCAATAAAAAGAAACGTATTTGAACAATCTGAAGATCTCTTTTTAATACTTCAGTTTTTCAGGGAGAAAAAAAACTTGATTTAATAATAGATTAATCTTGATTTGGAAAGGGTTTAGTTTTGTAGTTTACTTGTTTAAACTGACAATTTTTCAATGTTATCATCACGGCAAGAAATCAAAAGGTGATTAAGGACAAATAGGATTATATGAATATGAATTAAAAGGAGGAGGATATTTCACCCAGAAAAAAAGAGGGTAAGGAACATATCACAATAATTCCTATTATTGCACTCTTTGAAACTGAAATTAAAAAAATGGAGAGCTGTAAATTGTATAAACCATTTGTTAAATCATTGAGAAAAAACAAGAGAAAAAAGAGTTTCGTTTTAAGATTTTGTGCAATTCTTATACATTAGTGGTGTATGAGGAGAGTTTTATGGTTCTAGACAAGATTTGGTTGTCAATGAAAAGAAAAATCAGTTAATTTATGAATCAATCAGGTTTAACAAACAAAAATTGGATCAAAACACTATAATACAATTGCCCAGGTTTTTCATTGATTAAGATGAATGGCCAACTAAAGTAAGCTGATCTATTTACTTCATCTATGGCCTGGAAGTTGACGCATCTTGAGTGATCCGTCAGCTCCACATGAAAATAATTGATTTGCATTGTTGACATAAAGATGAGAAACTCCCATTCCTATGTTACGGAAAAGAGTACTTCGTGAATGTTCACCAGGGAAAGAGCAAACAACAGATTGGGGAGGAATCAAACTCCAAACCTGTAGATAGAAAGAGAAGGAAAATTAAATGATAGGGAAAAAAAGTTCAATAGAAAAGAGGACAAAATGAAAATATTTGAAATGATATTAACCTTAATATCACCATCAGCAGAGCCAGTAACAAAAAACTCTTCGCCTGGATCAAGAGTCATGCATTTAATGGCTGAATCATGAGCTTGGAATTTGTTTCGTTGGGTTCGTTGTCTCATGTCAAAAATGAAAACCTCTCCTTTTTTACCACCAGTGATGAGCAGTTGATTGAGTGGTGCATAAAGGACCACTGAGGCACCATGATGCTCATGACATGAAAATGAACTAACCAGTGATTTCTTTGCGGGTAAAAGAGTGTCCCACATGCAAATATTTTTATGATCGGTTGACTGTCCAGCAGTTATGATTAAACTTGATGATCCAAGGAAAGTGAAATCACTAGCATGTTTGGAATGAACTTGCATACTCTGGATAAAGCAAAGAGAATAAAAGACAAATGTTAAAAAAAACCAAATAAAATAGTTTAATTGTCCATAGATTGAAAAGATACTTACAAAGAAAGGTTTAGATGTAGAAGTGCATAAAGCGACTTGCCACAAGCTTAAATAGCCATCGCCATCAGTCACACCAAATTTATTGCCGATTTGATTGAAAGCAACCTTGGTAACTTTGGCGAAAGTACCTGGTGCACGAGGAGATGCTAAAGGATTTTGGTGTTTCCATTCCCATAAATTAACAGCTCCATCTTGAGATCCAGATAAATCTAAAATAAGAGAGAAAATAATTTTATTAATTTAAATATGGACCAAGGTATAAAATAATGTAAGATGCTTACAATATGGTAATGTTGGGTGAGAGCAAAGTCGTCTTGTTCCTTCGGTTTTGTGACGTTTAAGCTAGAATAAAGCAATGATAAATAAATTAATTCCAAGTGTGTTATATTGTTAGAAATATTAAAAAAATATTTAATATTTTTCAAGCAATCAATCAAATAAAAATAGTGTGGAAAATGAAAAATAATAGATAAATAACTCAAAAAACCAAAAGAAAATGGTTAAATTAATGCGAATTTCGAGACTCATTTTGATATCTACAAACTTCTTACCGGTTTCAGAATATGTCGACTTCGTTCAATAACATATTGACAAAATTGTGGGTTATTACTACCAGGAAAGTTATGTTTAGCCTTAAATTTTTTAATGGCAGCAATAATAAACGTATAAAAGATTTATAGTGTTTTGGGTTAACAATGGTTAAGATTTTCAATTGAAATAAGAGAAACCGATAAAGCATAAGTTTTAGTAAACCTACCAATATTGTTCCTTTTGGTGGATGAGGTTGACTTGAGACGGAGATTGGCTGGGATTGTAAAGCTTTGCCTCCAGGAGATGAAGAAAGACGGTCAGCTGGATGTTGGACCACGAGATAATTAGAGGCTGATAGAGATTCTGGAACCCTGTTTTAAATTGAAATGTGAAATAGCGTAAAAAATTTAGCAAAAATTGTTAATTTTCGACATAAAATAAATACGAAAAGATCATGCGATAACCTCAAATTTCTTAATCCATTTTCTGTATTGTAATTGTAATTCGATTAATGATTATGTAATCAAAGAATGGTTAGATATTAGCCGTTGTGCGTAATAAGACAATTAATTTTATCGGAAATAACCAATTAACCAAGAAATTAATCTCTTAGTAAAAAGATGTGAAGTAAAGAAACTCATTACTTGTAAGAATCTCGTTACATCGAGAATTATGAGGCATTAAAAGTCTTTTCCCGTCGTAACCGAAACACAAATGTTTCAGGTCGAGGGAAATTCTGGCAAGTTATGGATTAAAAGATATTAATCAATGAATGGTCTAACCAATCGATGACATTTCATCTAAAAGCTTTTCCCTATTCATCAATTTCGAACACAATGTGATGATTAAAAAGGAGGATAAGCCTAGTTTGTTTTGAATATTATCAATGACAAAACATTCATTTGCACGCAAAATGAACATTTTGTCATGCTGATATGCTGATTAATCTTTAAAACACAAATACTAGGTTAACAATAGAATTATTTTCTTACTTTAACATGTTTAAAATGTCAAATTCAGCTTCTTCTTCGAGCCATGGAACAGGTTCAAGGAGAACTGAAATATCAAGCTCTTGGACTTCTTTGGGAGTAGCAATTGCAATGTAACCAGATTGAGTATTATTTAAACAAAAAGCACTGATGTTATCTTGCTCTTTGTGAACAATACGAACTGGGTCACTGTGTGATGGATGATCATGACTTCCATCTTCATGATCCGTGTGATCAGTATATTCACTGCCTGGTCTATGACTGCCAAAAATGTAACGAATAAAAAGATCTTGAACTCGCTCTTGGCGAACCAAATAATTCCATAAACGTTTCATTGGTTTTGTAATTGAATTGTGTGATCTAAAGGGTGTATTATTGGTTTCAAGGAGAACCTTGTATTTCCAAATCGGAGGTCCTCCTGGTTGACGATTAGTTTCAACATAGTTGTTGGGTAAAAAATTGGACGGAGCACCTTCCAGTGTTTCCATGTAATTTTTCATGTAAATTGACCAAGTCTCAAGTATTTTGAAAACAGTGTGAATTGAAGGTGATGTTGTTGGTAATTCTCGCAACTCAACACCGGCAACTTGTAAAAATTGAGCCAAATGATAGCGAGCTAATTTAATTACTGCAAACCTCATGATTGACCAGGCATACTGCTCTAAATCTTGTTTCTTTGAGTTGTGAACCGTCTCTTGAAGACCCAGAGTTGATGATATTTGACCCGAAGCTGAAGTACCAAAAATGTTGTCATCTAAATCATCAAAGCTTTCCATATCTTCATCTTCACTTTGAACTGATTCACTCGAGTCATAGTCAATTAAAATGTAATCATCTGAAAGTTTAGGTTTAGACATTAGATAGGAAATGACCGACATCTGAGGAGGAACAAATTGTTCTTTATAGGTTGTACGATCTTCTTTAATTATGTTAGGTGTTTGTGGAGGTGTCGGTGTTGATTTATCTTGGTTAAGTTGCTGCAAGATTTTCATGTGAAGCTTCATTCTTTGCTGTGATAAAGTATTAAATAAATCAATTGACGAGCTTTGTGATTCATCTTTTGAATTCTGAGGCGTTGGTGTGGTAGCAGCTTTGGAATGAGTAACAACGTGAATAAGCTTTTTAGCACCACCACCGAATAAGTTACCCCAAATTTGTTCATTAAACTCCAAGCCAACTAAACGATAAAGAACATGAGAATCGCAGGCAGCCAATGCAAATACCAATTGACTCAAATAAATGGCAACGTATGCCTCGCATAAAAGGGTGTGTAACTTTGGTGAATCTTCATCTTTATCACGAGCTAACAAAGCTCTTAGACTCTGTACTCCTGGCCATTTATTGGGAGGAGTTGTAATGTTCAAAGGTTCATTGGTTTCACCAATATTGCTGGATGGTTTCTTTGCAACGTTACCGGCCATAAGATGGCTATTGGCACAAACAACGGAAGCACCTAATAAATCTTCCTTTATATTCATATTTTTGAGATCTAAGTTATCACTGTTCGAAAGGGATTGGTAGACGCAGGCAGAAAGGGAAAGGCCAAGATCACGGAGAACAAAAACCTCACAATAGCTTATTGGTAAAACTAATGGTGGAGCTTTCATGCCTGTTAATTCCATAAGTATATCATTTGTTACAGAATGAAGATGACGAATTGGATCAGCAATTACTGTTTTCTGACATGCAACAGAAGCAGCTAAAAGTGGTAATGTTGTTGGGAATGGTAGCGGGGAGAGTAACTGATGTTGACTACGTTCTTGTTGCAGTTCTTGAAGCAATAATATCAATTCCATGCGAACGGAGGCAAGTCCACCACCATGAGCACCATGAAGACTACAATAACTTAGTAATGTACGAAGAAGAGCTTCATTTCCCTGTAACCATTCCTTACGACGAGAAGCTCTTTGTAGTTTGGCCTCAAAGTCAAGATTCTCGGCAAGCAAGACTTCGTGAAGAGTTGGTTTTAGATCGGTGAATCCAGTAGACTCTGCATCACGAGAAGTGGCTAATTCAGATTGCGCAAGATCCATGTCTTCTAAAATCATTGAACTAGCTCGAGCTGGACTTGTATCATTGTCTGGAAAAGATTTCCCATCATATCCTCTCATGGAAAAGGTACGGTAGTTACAGATAACTTTAAGAGCCATAACACTTTTCTCAAGCCAAATGTACAAATGATAACGAAGGCGACCTCCGTCTACTTCAAATCCAGTGGCTAAAGTACTCAACTCTTCCATCAAAATTTTTAGACAGGCAATAAATTTCAATTGTTGTGCCATTATGTCTAGTTTAACATTTTCCAAAGGTTTTTTAGTTGAATCATTTGTTTCAAGAGCTGGACTACCTTGTAACTTCATTTCAAGTCCATTATCTTCTCCTTCTCCTTCATCATCAGTGCCTGAATCAATAGTAATGTCAATTTGAAAATCATTAGTAGATATTTTGCCCAAATCGGAAACTGGGGCCCCCCAATCAAAGGCATCACTTGTATCAGCAAGTTGAGTTGATGGTTTAAATGATGTGCCAGTGTCTAAAATTTCATCGGTAATAGTTCCAGAGGCAATAACTTCGGGAGTATCACTAGTAGTGTCAATTGATCTTTCTTTAGTCAGGAAATTGGCATGATCTTCATTGGCAATTTTCAAAGGTAACCTGGAAAGAACTTCCAATGCCAGTGAAGGACAACCAGCAAGAAAATGTTGATGAGCTGTAATGAAATAAAGTCGTCGTTCAAAAGGTGTAATAGCTTCGCTCGTTTCACGAAGTGCTTCTTTTGAATCAGTTAGCACAGATTTTTTGTCCTTTATTGTTTGAGCAAGATGACGCCTGATAATGAGAGGTTGATTTCTCAGGTAAAGATAAAAGTTGAAAACAGAAGGGACAATTGCTATTTCTGTCTTGTCTTCCTCATTTGGCGAGTATTTTGCGTGTTTTTCACCAGCTTCAGGGACCAATAAAGTTACCAATGAAGTAGAATAATCTTGTAACATCCAATAGCTCATGCTTCTTAAGAATGGATCGGGATGAGCTTTTGAGATGTCAAAGTTTTGTCCGTCCGACTCGCAGCCGAGAACTTCTTGGTATAAGATGCGTTTTAAATTAGATGGAACTGTTTCTATATCACCTTCATAGAGACGAACAATTGTCATGGCAAGTTGCATATCTTCCAGTTTATTTAGGCAAACTTCAATTGCATCCCAAATTGCTCCTCCCAGAAGGAAAAATGCAGCAGCATGGTTAAACCTTTGTTTACCTAAAAGAGCATAAGCGTTTTTCAAAGCAGCTCGTCTCCACTTATCTTCATTGAAATTATTTTGGAAAAATTCAGTCATCTTACGATCACCAATTGATCGATAAAGACCCCAGACAAGAGATTTCTTTTTCATTGCCAGATAGAATAGGGCAGAATCTAAAGGATCTTGAGTAGCTTGGAAAGATGCTTTAGCAACTTGTTCTATAAGTCGACGAAGGACTGCATTATTTCGAATCCACCAGCCACAACCAAGCTCACGAAGTTCATTCCATTTTGGGCTTCCCTTGGCAACTGAAGGTACCAGTTGAACAAGCTCTTCTTGAGTTTCTGAATGGAAAGCCCAAACAATATCAGATGAAGATAAACCTTGTTTTTGAAGCATTTTCCGATGAGCATAAGGAAGACACCTGAGAAGATAAGTGTGCTGACGCATGGCCAAAAGGAAACGAAGACCACAATCATCAAGTGAATCGGCAGATATTGGAGCACCGTCGCGAACATCAGCACCATGGCTACTATAGTAATCTGAGGAAGATGAATCTGCAGATGGATTGAAAGAAGCTACTGCATCAGCTAAGGCAAGTAAATGCATTTGATCAAGACTAGAGAGACCAGGGAGATGAGAATGGGTTAGAAGTTTGGTTAATAGTCGTGCTTGATGAGCATTAAAATCTTTCAGATCAGTTGTTTCAGGGCGTTTGTTTGCTTTGATTGAAGAAAAGTTGAATGCTGATTTACTGAGCATTTCATCAAGAGTTTCATCGATTTGGGATTTACTATTTGCGTTAAATAGAGTGTCATATTCATAGTCAAACAACGGATCTTTAGGTGAGTTTGGCTTTTCTTTTGGTCTTTTGGGTTCTTCAGATTCCGCTTCGATCAAAGCAAACAAGGGTAAAGGTCGAATAGAGGTAATCTCAGTGTAATCAAGTTGAACTTCCTCTGGTATTGAAAGGAAATAACTATCTTGACCGTCCATTGGTGATGGAGCGCCTGGTGAAGTTGGTGGTGGAGCTGCAATGGAAAGTGTTCTTGATCTAGTCCATGATCTTGGACGTGATTCTGTTGACTCATAATTGAACCCTTGATTTGAAGAGAGATAATTTTTGAGTGAATCCATAGAGCAAAGAGATTTGACCAAGTGACTCAAGATAGCGCGAACACGAGATATTTTACCAAAAGCAAGAAGTTCCATTAGCTGTTTGGGATGATATTGCGGTAAAACTGGACAAGCAAGTCTAGAAGCTTCAAAAATACCGAAATCGGGCAATTGTGAAAGATATGAAGCTTTTGATTCATCAGTTTGTTTGACTGAGTCTTTATTCATGGAATTATTATCTGAATTGTTAGAATTTGTTGCTGCTGTTGTTGTGGTTGGGGTTGCTTTTGAAGGAACTTGTGGATGTTTCCTGCTTTCATAAGCAGCTGAAACTCCACTGATAACCGATGAAGAGGGAGATCGAGCCAATGATGTGTGCGAAGGAAGGCGAAGGTGAGATGATTCTTGAGCATGGATCAAAAGACCCTCCTCAGTAAGAACTCGAGAATCGGTAACCTCTGAAAGCATCTCGGGTCGTTTAGATAAAGTGTCATCTCGGCTTTTCCATTGGGTATAAATATGCATCTCATTGTCCATTCCTACGACGAGAATACCATCACGAACCCAACTCATCTGCATTGGTAATGGAGGAAGACCATCTGCTGTTTTAAGATGAGTTGTACGAAGCTTCATCCACCTAATATCATCAACCTGGGTCATCGGGATTGCCATAGAAGACATTTGCTTGAGTAACATTCGAGATGCTGGTGCAGCTCCGGTTTTAGATGACGTTTTCATGGCTTGTAAATTAGCTTGAGCAATGTCAGTTGATACAGGAGTGAAAACTGAGATCTTATCTTCAACTGAAACCGTAAGGATATGTGACCCATCCTCTGTTGAAACCCAATCAAGTTGAACAATTGATTTTTGAGTCAAAGTAAATTGATTTCCTTGTTCGGAAATTATTTTTTTCAAAGATTGCATCGTGGTGTAACTTGGGACTGAAAGTAATCGTTGTATATTATTGGTACTTCTATTTGTTTCGTGGTGCTCATCAGAAACTCCTAAACGATTGACTAAAGTATCTAGAGTTTTTCGATTTCGAATAGCAGTGTTTATCAAAGGTCCCAAATCAATTTCTTGGCTTAACTCTGTTCGAGGAATGGCTATGTTTTTCAAATGAATAGTATCTTCTAAAACCCATTCAGAGCCTCCAGTTGATTCACACTCATAAATGGCAAGGTTAATATTAATAAATCGTGCATTAGGGTCTTGACTGGTTGGCCGAGAAAACGATTGTCCATGTTTGAATGCACAAGCGATTCGTCCACTATAGGCACAGCTTACATATAAGGGTAAACCGGGAACTTCAATGGCACTTGATCTTTCTGAATTTATCAACATTTCCCACTCTTTCCACTCATACTTAACATCATGCTCGTTTTTATCGTCCACATGACATCGCCAAAAACGAAGAGTTCCATCCGAGCAAGCAGTACAAATAAGATAAGGAGCGAAACAAGCTGGATAAATATTGGATGAACTTAAATGACCTGCAGCTGGAGTAGCATGAAGAATCTCGACTCCTTCTGGAATAGGTAATACTTGAGAACAAACTTTACTAGTGAGTATCTGGAGAGGAGAATAAGATTGACCTTGACGGAATGATTGATTTTTGGAATGTCGACGCCCGCCAGCTCCAGTATCGGTAATTGGTGAGCCACTACGGGATGATTGGTCAATATCACTATCATCTTGAACCAAATTACTATCTGGAACATAAGAATAACGATCTGATGTAGCGTCTGCCGTTGAGTGAGATGAGATAACTAATCTCCACATATGAAGAACAGATCTTCCAGTATCGGGATCCTTTTCAAGAACAGTTAGGAAAAAAGGTTCCCTAAAGGCTGAATAATGGCGAAGATCAACAACAGCGCCAAGACTAGGTTCGACAAGTCCAAGATTTTCCTGTCCTTGTTTTTCATTCCAGCATTTGAAAGCCATTTCCTCTCCACGCAACATTTGATCTTGAAAAACATGGAGTAATTGAGTATACTGCCAATCGTGAGTGGCATCAGAGATGGCATCAAGCTCTAAAATACAGCCAGGACGAGAGGTCGATTGAAGGCTAACAATTTTGAAAGCATGGTGGAGATCTGAACGGTATCCACAATAGTCTGATGACCCAGTATTCTCACTGTTTGGACTAAGGGTCTCTGATTGTTGGGAACAGCGTTGAGAAAGGGATATTTCAGATAGTAAAGTACGAGCATCGATGACTGCTTGATAAACTCGTAACTGATGACCATCGGAGGCAATGAAACAGGCACTCGGAGAATTAGAAATTGAACCAAGAGTTGTACTGGGTAAAAGAGTAGGAAGCCATGCAACATTGGCAAAAGCTGCTGTTTCTAACGAATTTATTCGTGCTAACTCTGTAACACCTCCTGACATTGACAAAGGACCGACTGGATCTACTTTCCAAAGAATTAATTCTGAACAAAAACCAGAATTAGGTAAACCCTGGGGTGGAAAAACAAGAATAAATAAAAGATTTCAAAAGAGACAATAGAGAATTGTAAATCATTGTCTTTCTTACCTGTAAGGGAGGACAGCAACTACTGGAAGATGGTGTCCCTAATGGGCTCGACGAAACAGATGAATTCATAGATTTTGGAAAAGATATGTTACTTCCAGGGAGATTATGATGTGATGTTGTGAGAAGAAGAGGTAGAACAGGGTGACAAGAAATATCATTGACTCGGAAACGATGACCACAAACTCGTGAAATATGTGATATACTCATTAATTGGGTAAATTTAGTAACTTCAGCGAAGCTAATTGACCATAAATTAAGAGATCCATTGCTATGTTTAGTGACCATACTAGCAGTCGGGGTAAGAGAATCCTCAACTTCCACCTTATTCCAGCGAGCACTACGATTATTTAAATCTTCTGAACAAGTTTTGGTGTCAAGGTTAGATATAACGGAAGCTGATTGGGCCATGGTTGCTTTAAGGTTGAGATAGGTTAACGGAGAGTAGAGTGCTAAATTGTGTGACATAGTAGCTGCATCACCTAATGGAATAGCATTGGGTATTCTAGATGAAAAATTGACTTGAGCTTGACGAAATGATCCAGGACAAGCTTCATCCAACCACTGAACCAGCCAGACTAACAAACTACCATCGACTGGATGAATACTAAATAAGAGATCAGCTAACGAATGCCATTCTCGAAGAAGGGCTTCAAATCTTCTATCCAATAAGTCACTTATTGAAGATGTTGGAGTTGTATTGGCTAAATTGTTTAGATCAATGGCTGTAGATGTTGATGATGAAAGTGTATGACAACTTTGACGACTGGCCTGAGAATCAATATGTTCTGATGAAGATTCTTCACCAGTTCCGTGAACTTTGCCTTCTTTATGATACTTTTTCTGTTTGTTTTTATTATGTTGCACTTGACGACATAATTTATGGCGTAACTTTTTACTCTGTTCTGCTGTAATAGTAACATCATTATCTAAATTATCAAGATCAAAATCTGCTTCAACATCAGCCGTATCACTCTCCCCTTCACTTTGCCCAGAAGCAACTGACTCGGTTTGCATGATTTTGGTGCTAATTTCTTGTAACAACTTTTCAGCAGCTCGGGTAAAAACCATCTCTTTATTATTTAACCAATGAATGACAAAATTGGGATAATTTTTAGAATCTGAGGATCCATTAGCGTCACTTGGTGATAGACTAGGTACCAAAGGGATATCAGTTTCAGCATTTATGCTAGCGGCAAGGTGAAAGTGAAAACCAGGGGTTATTGCTGTCCCACAAACAGAGAAACTATGAAAATCATGAACACTGAAGGTACTTGGAAGAGTTGGAATAGGTTCATTTAGATGATTATCATCATCATGTTTGGCTGCTTGACGTTTTTTGAATTGACTGAAGGCTTTCATGTGTTTCAAACGAAGGAGAAGTTTTTGACGGTGACGTTGGGTCTGATTGCGAGGAACAGCATGATTAGAAAGTGTTTCAATTTGGCTAAAATTGACTAGTCCGTCATCTGGAAGAAGGGTTTGTACCCATAGACGGCAAATATTATCGCGACAAGAAGTGACTAGCATATTTGCAACGGATCCTCTTGATAAGTATTTACTTGTTTTACGCCATGATATTCCAGTAATTGCTCTTGGATGGGCAATGTAAATGAAGGAAAAGTTGATATCCCCAAGTAAATGGGATGATCGACGCTGAAATGATTCTAGATTGGGTGCCGATGCGGAATGAAGTGAATCAACCTTGGCTGCACTTTCATACCAAACCTTGACCAATCTATCTGTTTTACCGGCAGACACAAACAATGATCCGTCAGGAGAGAAACGAAGAAAACAAACGGGCGATGAGGTTCGACACTGCCAAACACAATCCCAACGAACTTGTTCTGGTTCATCTCCATTATTATTTTCGTTATTACTGGATTGAATATTTTCTGGATTAATATGAAGACCGTCACCTTTGTTTTGCTTTACATCATGATTGATAATATCATCCTCAGAAAAGTTGATAAGATGCCAAACTTGAATACAGGTACCACCAGTGAGAAGTTTATTACCTTCTAGGTTCCATGAAATGACAGACACATAACAATCAGTTTCTAATGATGCTGTTTGTATCCATCGATAATCTAATTTATGGCTTGAGTTTTGATCCAATAATGGAGTAGGTTCAAAGATGTAAACCTTTTTACCATAGGCAGCAGCAATTTTACCTACATCTGTAGAGCAATCGATACAACCAACTTGAACATTACCATGCAATATTCCTGGTATAATTTGAACTCGCTGGAAATCACTGGCAAGAATAACAATATTACATCCAGCTGAATAAGCAGTAAACGGTACACCTTCAACACTTCCTACAGAATAACAGTTGTCACCAGCATTGACAGCTCCGGTTAAAATTTGATGTTGATCCATAATAAGAAACTAGGTGTAACAATGGGTTACATTTGGGCAAATAATTATTAATACACTAGTAAAATACATACAATATATCACTGATAATGACGATAAAACTAATATAAGAAGAAAAAAACATAGAAAGAGATATGAGAAAAGAGAGAAAGATATAGAGAGAGAGCGAAAGTAAGAGTGAGAAAAAAACAAACCAGTTACAGCTTTAGATTAGAGTTGGAAACCAGTAAAATCAAACAATCTAGTTACAGGGTGATCATAGAATTGACACCAAAGGAAATAAAATGCCAATATGATTCTGTTTCCAATGTTAGGTGCGCAGAGTAGATACACAGGGAAACAGAGAAAGCAAATGTCCTTGTCCTAAACAATTGTATCTAATTTCCGTCCTGATGAATGTACAAAAAAACAATTAAAATTGAAACTGATCATTTTGTGATCATTTCATAAACAAAAGTAAATAAAAAATCAACAATGAAAGTCACATAAAAAAGCAGTGAAATTTTCCTTCACATTACAGTTTGTGTATGAGAATTTAAACCTCCTCTAACGGTACAAACAGTAACTATTGAAAAGTTACCATTCTTTGAAACTAATAAAGCAAAGGTCCATTGATCATCTTTGATTCAATTCACTATTATTTTGTTTTCCGTAATTACTCAACATATCAAAACTGTTTACCACACAAGTTGAAAATTTCCTATTTACTGCATTTCTCTCATCAAAGCTTCTTAAATCTAAACTTGTAAGTCACAACTTGGAATCCTTTTATTAGTTTAACCATTCAAGACTAATGTTTGAAATTGATTATAAATACATTGTTTGATTTTTATGATTAACAAGTGATTCGACTTCAAACTTTAAGCCATTAAACTTCGGAATTGTATTTACGTCAAGCTTAAGTTCAACATAGACCCATCAAGTCTAAAAGTGCATAAATTTTATGCTATGAAAGTGTTTATTGTTAGGTCTAATGTTTGCACATATCGGTAAATTAAAGATAAAGGATAAGTGTTGATCTGGTTGTTGGGTGAATGCTTGATCTTTACTGTTAATAACAATCTGATCGTGAAAGCATTTATTGTCAATTATCATACAAATAAAAGAAATAATCTTCTCATTGATATTGTGTGTTGTCATAAGCTAATGATTTTGTCCGTGAAAAAAGCTAGATGATGATATGGATATTTTTTATGGGTACAATTATATTTATAGCTAATGAACTAATTAAAATGATGATAATTGTCGTTGAAGATGAGTTTTATACTCAACAATAGTTCAAAGTAAAAGCTGCCATCTTTTGGGTTTTCTGCCAACATTTATCTTGAATCAATTTTCCCGGCCTTTTCTATTTAGTTTTCATATGGTAACCTTGGTTACTCAAGTTTCGGAAATAGATGGCGAGTGGTGTTTCCTGATCCAACTAATGTGTGTGTAATTTTACACTCAAGTTGAGTTAAATTGTTTTGGTGTTTAATTTAATAATTGTTTTCATTTAAGTTAATCAATAATGGTAAGTTTTATTAATATTACTTAACAAAGACTACACTTGCTAATGTCTGGTTCCATTTATCTTGTTTCTAGGGTATTGATATTTGCCACAAAAATGACCGAAAGGTTAGAAGGAAAGCACCTAAAAGTAAGGATCCTTATCTTCTGCTGTTAGTTAAGGTAAGTTATTTAATTATTTCTCTATTGTTCACCTATTGCATTGACCGATTTTTCTTTCATTTAAATCGTCATACCGCTCATTCTGCCTCTCCATCGTACTAAATCTCTGTGCTTTTATTTTACAGCTGTATCGTTATCTTGCTCGTAGGACCGGTAAAAAGTTTAATAACATTATTCTAAGACGTCTGTTTATGAGTCAAACAAATCGAGCTCCTATTTCTCTAATGGGTTTGGTTAGTATATTTTCGACTTAATTATGCACTGTTTCAATAGTGATATTGTTTCATTATTTTGAACCTCATGGTTTTTCAAGTGGTCCACAGTGTTTGTCTGGGTCCATTTCCAGTTTTGATCCAACTAATTGTGTAATCTTTTCTTTATTTAATAGATCCGTCAAGTTAAGAAGCCAGGTAATGAGAATAAAATAGCTGTCATAATCGGGGATGTATTGAATGACATTCGTGTCCACGAGGTTCCAAAAATGACTGTCTGTGCTCTCCGATTCTCAAAGCAAGCTCGAAGAAGGATATTAGAAGCTGGTGGAGAATGTTTAACCATTGACCAGCTCGCTGTCAAATCTCCAACCGGTAAGAATACACTTCTTATCCAAGGACGAAGAACCGCTAGAGAGGCTTGCAAACACTTTGGTCCAGCTCCTGGTGTTCCACACTCTCACACTAAACCATATGTTAGGTCTAAAGGACGTAAATTTGAAAAAGCTCGTGGACGAAGAGCCAGTCGTGGTTATAGAAAGTAAAATCTTATGGATTTGTAATTTGATTAATGCGTTAATATGGATTTCGCTTGATTTTGTTGACGCAAGTCAATTGTAATACATTAATCGTTTGATAAAATCAATAAATTATTAACGATTGAATCATTTCTTTTCATCTGGATTTATTCACCACTCCAACAAATTGACTCATATTACCAAAAGCAAAATTGATTGTACCAAAAGGAAACGGCGACATTTTTCCATTCAGCATTTTCAGTAGTGGCAACAATAAGCTATTCAAAGGATATTTCAAAGCTTACCATGAAAACAATTAATATAATGCTAGTCAACTACCAAAGACAAATAAAAAATGAATAACAAAATAATTCTTTGGAGCAAACTAACAGGTAGAAAAGTTCACCTATGCATATTGATAATTATTTGTATCATTTTTTTGTTAACCAAAAGCTGGTTTAAACCTTGGCTAATATTGATTAAGGTAAGAATAGATAGTTTAATAGACAGTTAAATAGACAGGATGAATATAAAGACGAATGTAATGACGATGATGAAAATGATAAAAAAAAGTGTAAAGAGAGCAAAGGTAAACCCATTTCATTACTTTTTCTTGAGCAGCAATCATGCTCTTTATGGACCTTACCTAAACTTTTATATCATTTTCATTCTCCTTTTTTCCCTCTCATCCTAAACCATCATCCTCATCTTCCCTCTCATCATCTTCATCTTCATCCCTTTCTTTATACTTACTGTACTTTATTTACTCAATGGTAATGGTGAAAACGTTACAAGTATGCTTTCAATAGCGTTACAAGAGGAATCAAATTATGGTTAAGCCTAGCAATCTTACCTTTCGCTCTTCCTATCTTCAAATTTTTCATCCTCATCTCCATCTGCATCATCTTACTCTTCAATCCATCACAATCTCATTTATGTTCATACAACAACAACAATAACAACAGTTACCACTGGCTACAAAAAACCAATTCCCTTTCATCCAACATTCAAAGTTATCTACTTCTGTTGCAAGATGAAAAGTAACTGCAAACTATTTTATTCTGATTAAAGGAAACAACAATAACAATCATCACCAGCATCATCTTTACCATCATCTTCATCATCCGATAACACTTTTTTTTCATCATTTACTGTCTTCATCCTACACTGTTACACATCAATAAAAGCAAACATTATACCAACTTTACTCAAAGACTTTATCAACTTTTCTCAAAACCCTTTATATCTTAATCATCATCATCTTGTTCATCATCTCATTTCACCTTACTTCCTCTTGCTTCATCATCAACCACATCATCTTGTCATCATCGTGCTCATCTTGCTCATCTATCAAATCATAGTCTTTGTTCATACAACATCAACAGAGTGTATAAAAGGCTCATCCTGAAACTTGTGCATCATCTTTTTACCTTGTTCATCGTTATTAATCACAACCAGTAATCGTTAATCCAATTAACAAGAATGTTATAATCAAACAAAACCAAAGAAAAAGATCAATCATGATTTTAATTGCAACCATTTTTCCTCATATTAATAGCAACATTTTAATGGCAACATCAAACACCAAACAGTAACAACAAACTTGTCTTAACACTGAAACGTCTGTTCATAGCAATCAAATTATCATTTAATAGCCATTAAATCACCAACAAGATCAACCTGTGAATAACAATTTCCACCTAATTTGTTGATTCCAACAGCAATCAGTGAAAAAAAGTAACCCAAAAAGAAACCAAAATCTGTTTCTAACAGCAAAAAGAAATAAAAAAACAAAATCAACCAAAAAGAGTAACACCAAAAACTAAACCCAAAGTGAATGAGACACAAAAAAAGGTCGAAAGGAAACTGGAAAAATTATGTGATTTGATTATTAATCAGTTGTAATGAACCATTTGATTGGAATCACTGTGACCCATTAATTGTTGATCATCGTACACTTGAAATCCAATCCATTTCCACTTGTTACCATTTAAATTTTCATCTCAAGTGTATTACAATTGCCACCATCACTAGCATCAATTTCCTAGCCAAGATCTTCATCATGCAACGTAGTTTGCGTATGAATGATCTTCAGCTATTTGCTTTAGCTGATAAGGCCCTACACGATAACAGTAAAAAAGGTTACCTGTTCAAGCGGACAACCGAAGGTTCAAAATGGCAACTTCGCTGGTTCGTCTTATATCAAAACCTATTCTTTTACTATGACAGTGAAAGCTCGGGTAAACCTTGTGGATTAATTTTCCTTGAAGGATCTTATTGTTCAAAGGCTATTCAAACTGGATCAAGTAAAAACTCAACCCATTTACAGGTAAATCCTGAAAATTTTAACCCAAGAATTTTCTTTCTCTTTTCCTTCTTCCCTCGGCACATTCACAGACAATTAATAATAATGATAATGGTTAATAAATTATTTACAATCATTAAATCTTTATTAATGTTTTTCACATCTTTCATCGCTTGTAAAACCAAAGGGAAAACATTGAAAGAGCAACTTTTTTTTTCTTCCATTGCAAACTATTATCTTTTATGGAGTGATGATGATAAATTGATTTAGATGGTAACAGGGAGTGAAAATTATTTTTACTTTTCATCTGTTATTACCTTTACCAAATCATCATTATTTATTTCACATCAGCAAGAATATTTAATATCAATTGTTGTCTTTTAATAGACTTTCTTTTTACTGTCATTTTGTTGCTTTTTCCAGTTAATCTTCCATGCGAAATGAAAACTCTCATTTGATTGAATTTTGATTGAGTTGTTAAAGGGATGAAAGAAGTAAAAAGATTTGATTGGAAAGAAAAGAAATGAAAAAATAAACAAAATGTGAAATGATAATTGGCAATGAAATGTGTTGGAATCAAGAATTCAAAGGATGAAACATTTTCTTCCTCTTCACTGGAAAACAATTGCAAGACTGGAATTCAAACCATTTTCATGGGAAGAGATAAAAGCTGATGAAAGTGAACAAAGTTGAAGGGAAAAAAATTTACGTGAAAAAATGGCTTCACTTAATGCAATGTAATGGGCAAAGAGTAAGCTTGTTAGGTTAAAAAATTAATGCACTTTGCCTATGACTTGCGGCCTAAATTGACTAATTGAAAGCAAAGGTTGATGTGAAGATGAGGATTATGTTGGATGATAATGAGGAAAAGTGTTGTTTTAAAGGTTCAACATTTGAAAATTGGATTGAATTTCCATTGATGAAAAGTAATGTATTTAAATTTGTTGCCTGAAACATCTAATGCTATTACCTTTTTGGATAATATTGTTGGCAAGGAAAAGGTGAAAATGGTGCGAAATGTGATTGATAGTAAAGCCTGTGTTGGTTAGTTTGCTACCTTCAATCTTGAGGAAGGAATGAGGATGAAAAATTGTGATATTGAACAGAAATGAAATTGAGAAGAGAATTGGTAAAAGTAATTGAAAAAGATTGAAGTAATACAAATCAAAATAAGTGTACAAATGATTCTCAACTCATCCAATTACTGTTCAACCTTTTCCCATGTTTACTCTGCCTTTTTAATTCACTTTCATCTTCATATTTATGATGGTTAACAGGGAAAATTAACCATTTATATTGACATTTTGGGTTATTAATTAACTAAGTATCATTAATGGTTACGAGTCTGTTTTGTATTGTCTGCATTTCTGTCATTTTTAGTTAATTTTAAGTTTCAACTATTTTAATGTCTAAATGGATCAGACCATTAGTCGACTTGGATCTTTGATTTATCGATTAAAAACAGTTAATTGGATAATTTATCCGAGTTTTCATCTTTTTCTGTTCATGGTAATTTGAAACACTTTTTGCCTTTTGTCTGTGCGAGATCAAAGGTGATCATTCCAAGTTCAATTGAAAATTCAATGATTTGATACATTTCCATTTGATAACATCTAATTAATTCTGAACCAAATGTCGATCGAAGGTTTTTTTTGTTAATTTTGCCAGATTATCTGATTAGATTAGATTAACTTTTTTCATCTCACATTAATCTTCTTAGCCTGGAATATTTTGCCAAACCCAAAGGCTGTGGTCTCGAAACAATGAGCATAAGTATCAGATGGAGTTATTAGATGATAATTTTGGGTTTTTCACATCTAAAGTTTAATCATAGGTTAAGTCAAAGTTGATTCATTTAACCTGATGTACAGGCTTACAGTCTAATCGAAGTACAATCTTTACCTTTTCAATTAATCTGTTTTGTCAAATGAAAAGGTCCTGACAGATTAAACTACTGTTGATCCAAAGTTAATCTGTTCAAAGTCAACTGGAAAAGTCCTTTTGTTCATTTCATTAACATTGCTCTCTTACTGCGATTAAAATTATTGTTTTTCAATTTTTTTCATAAGCGAGTTGAAATACGTAGAGTTAATCAATAACAATTTTTACGACCGATTTATCATGTTTGACATCCACGAAATGAACTAGCATTAGACTACATTCATTGAAAATATCCAGAGCTCTCTCGGAATTTTCTTAAGAAATCACAATCAGGACGATCGGAGTAAAACTGAATGGGAATTTTAAAGCATTGCATTTCGGGAAAACTTTTTGATTACGTAAATTGTAATTGTTGAATATGGAGTAAATTCAAAATTTGGGTTTCAAATTTTGACCTCAAATTTTGAAGTTCCCTGTTGTCAATTTGTTTGAATTTTTCTTGATTCATATGTTCAAAACAAAATAGTGAATTGCTTTCCATGGCTTGGTTTTTTATGGATTTTACACTCTGCAATTAACAATAAAAGGATCTTATTATTTGACTTTCTTTATTTGCAATCCTGATCTATTTCAATGTGAATTGATGGCAAAATTAAGAAAATGAAACTGACGAAATTTTATTAGTCATTAACTTTGCAAGGCTTTTTTAGCACCACGAGACTGAATTTTTCCATTTTGATGCTGTTCTTTATTGACAACTTTGAATATTTCCAGTCTGCATTGCATCGTACTCACAATTTCAGTGAAAAGATCAGTCATGATCGGCATCCTCTTGTTGGATATGAATAATGCATAAACCTTTTTGACATAAAATCAGTGCAAAGTAAGTCCCCATTTAATCTGTAAAAAGTGACCTCTCATCAATCAATAATCAAATCTGAATCATAAACGACGGATTAGCTAAAGATGCGTTCAATGCTTTTATCAAAAGCAACTAAAGGTGAAGATTGTATCAAGACTAGAAACTGATAACACATAAAGCGAATAAAATCTGGTTCTAATAAAGAGTAAATTGCCGATTAATCAATTATTCATCCAATCCAAATCTCGATATCAATCACAGAAATATCATAAGAATTGATAATTTAAAGTAAAACTCCCTTCAAAGCTGGGAGTTGTGAGGCACAAAATGGATTTTCAATAACTTGAATCTTTTCATTGCAAGAGTTGATCAATTAGCAGGTTAAAACATGAACTTTAAATTTACAGAATCAATGACGATTTTGACTGGAAAAGCAATGAAATTTTTCATTTTACTCTGAATTGTTTCCAAATGATTGACAAGTGACACAGGGATTGGCAAGCTTAATAGCAAAGGAAATAATATTAATGTCAAAGTTGATTCGATTTGAGTAAACATTTCATTTGAATAACATTTAAAATGGACATTTATTGTTGATCAACTTTTAATTGAATGGCGAGAAAGAGATTGACTTTTAAATATTCAGTTTCAACTTTCAAGCAAAATCCATTAAAGGAACAGTAAATATCGAGTTTAAACCGATAATGAAATGGACACAATTACAGGATTGTTTGATCAAGTAAACACTAGGAATCCAAACAGAAGAAGAAAATTAAACCCAAATGATTCCATTTAAATGATAGTTAATGTAACCCTATCAACAGATCAATTTTAATCCAGATCAATTACGGCCAAATTGACATTATAAATTAACTTGTTCAGTACAAAACATTTTAAGGGTCAATTACATTTGACATGAAATTTAAGTTTCAAGACAAAAAAAGGAGAAAAGAGTGAAAAGAAGAAAAAAAATAATCTCTTTTTATTGAACTTTTTTTCCTTTTCTTTTTTTTTCTAATCTTTTTTCACTTTTCCTCTTTTCATCTTTCATTCCTTTGATACACCATGAGAATCAGAATGAAGATGATACTCAATGGTTTGCTAAATGACAAAACCTTAACAGCATTTCAAAAGTGATTCCGAGCATCGTCACAACATTTTCAATTCCCAAACATTTTCAAAGTAAATCTTGATTGATGCTGTTTCACAGTCAAATTGAGTCAACTTTTGTTTCGTTTAATCTTGAGAATGATAATAATCATGATAATAGTGATGATCCTTGTGATATCCAAACAACATCTGGTGCAACATGAGACAGTGAACAACATGAAGTAATAATGAACCCATTCTTGAAGAGTGTATCATTAATATTTCATTGTTAATCTGAGTAAGCTTTTTCTTGTTTTCCTTTCCATCTCTCTTTTGCTCTTTTTGTTTTTTTACTTCGAAAAAGGTACAACAAAGATTATCGAAAAAATGGCCAGAAAAATGTACAGAATAAATTGTCGATTCATCGATATATAATGGTTGCAGGTTATAACAATGGCTAACAGTGTTAATGGTAAACATTGATTCCTAATAACAAAATGGTTCAATCATTTGATTTCACCTTTTTTTGTATTATTGACAGTTTTTCATTAATGATGGAAACAAGTGTCAAAACTGTGAACAATCAACTTTAACTATTCATTTCATTGGTCATTTGCATATTGATTTAATGAATGTTTTCCCAACCAATAGATACATTTGTTACTCTTGATATTAAATACAATGTGAACCAATTTCATGGTCATTATTACAATTAAACAACAAAAGCGTTTTTAGATTGATTTGTGTTGTGAGTTGCTTTTGATGAAATGTTAGGCAACGAAATGAGAGCAATCAATTTTTAAGGAAACCCAATTTTCTCTCATTAATCAATTACTTAATTAAAACGAAGATTCAATTGTTTGTCTTTTCCTCTTTAATTGCTTCTTTAGATTTACGTTGAGTTGCCAGTTTGGTTGGAGTTTGATTAAGGGCTTTTGTCCTGTGTGTTGGGTTGAGTTGTGCATCTTTAACCAGAAATTGTTGTTATCATTCGTCTATCTGTTTATTGAAATGTAACTTGAATAGCAACCAGTTCTGTTTAATGTTTCAGTCTCTTAATCTGATGAAATCTGGGAAACTCTCAAATTAATCAGTTTTGTTACATTGTCAGTTTCTTGAACAATACCAGTTACAGTAATAATGCAAAATAGCTTTCCTATTTAGGTTGAAATGTGAACACGTCTCAGCCTGT